TGTGGGGTTTTTTTTTGTCTTCACTGTTTCTGAAATTCTTACTGATTTCTGGTGGGGAGAGAGTTTCGTAACCCTTTCCTAAACTCTGCATGTCCACCTACTACCATCTTAAACAAAACCTATGTGCTTTGTCTGTGGAACCTTTTTGGAAGTATAGGTTTCTTTTTAATGGACAGGAGAGCTCATCTACATTCCTCATGCCCCTCTCTGATTGGGAGAACTAACTACTGTCTCTTCTTTTGTAGATGATGCTTCCCAGATGGACTTGTTTCACAGAGACTCTGATAATGATGATGAGAATGAAGAACAGCTTGATGAGACAGAGACAAAATGGAGAAAGGAGCGATTTGAACGAGAGCAGTGGCTCCGTGAGCAGGTATTGCGTTAGTCTGCAGAAAGGCTGACTGCTTAATACTTCGGTACACCTTTAACAAAGCATGCTAGACTGTTGGCAGAGTTCTCGGTTGGTCCAGTTAGTTAAAAACCATATCAATTATAGTTTTCACTTCTCCCTTATATAGCACCTTTTGTTTTTCCTCCTGTGATCTTGGCAAGCAGTTTCCCCATCACGAGGTTATGCACTGAGTTGGTGGCAGATCCAGAAATCCTGTTTTCTGCTCCAGAATCCTAATTCCAAGGCTTATAAACTTCCAGGTCAAGTTGCTGTAATTAACATAGGGTCTGAGGAAAGAAATCTGGTTGGTATCTTGAAGCTTTGACTGTTTGTAATAGATAAAAAGATGATGCTGATAAACGACCTGAAAAACTGCAGGAAACTTTAATTGCTGGTTTATATTGGCCTTGTATCCTAAAACTGATGTAGTAAAGAGAGTTAGTAAGTTCAAGACACTGAATGAAATGTGCATTCTGATTCTTGCAATTTGCTTATTTATGAATGACCATTTATTTATACCCAAATAAATTTGTTAGTCTCTAAAGTGCCACAAGGGCTGATACAGTTTTTGCTGATACAGACTAACACCGCTACCACTCTGAAACCAGTCTAAAAAACATCATTTATTTTTATCAGATAGAGAAAGGAAAAAATGAAGGGGAGGAGGAGGAAGAAATTGGTGAAAATAGTCTGTTCATGAAACTAGCAAAGAAGGTGACTGCTAAGTCCTTGCAGAAGAAAGGTAAGCTTGTTTCACACTGAAGTGGCATCCAAGAAGAAAGAAAAAACCTTGACAAGCTACTGACTGTTCCAAGCACTAGTGAAAGTTGCTATTCGACTAGATATCTCCACTCATTCCCCCCATACCAGTGCAGGATGGGCTCCAAGTTTGTTAGTGCTTTGACTTGTCTGGCACTAAGAGATGCAGCTGCAATCTTGATGGCCAGCAGACTTTTTTCTTTGCTAAAATATTTCTTTTCCCTTAATTTTTAAAAAAATAGTTAGTGGCAGAATGTCCCTATGCTTTCAGTCTTCTTCCTCTTTTGGTCACTGCCTCACAAAGACTCTTTGAGTGTAGTGACATTCGACACAGCACACTACTTCCCAGAGTGCAAACTGCTTAAGGGAAAAATTGCATAATGTAGTTTAAATCAAATAATCTAGTCAATTTTTAACTTGCACATGGCAAAAATGTGATTCTGAGACTGCATAACTACTTCCGAAATAAACAAGTTCCCTGCCAGGTGCTAAAGACGTCATTGCCATTGTTGTTAGCTATCAGTTATATGGCTCATTGGTCAGTTAAAACAGAATTCTGGTGGCAGCATTTATTGGAACAGGGTTGCTGTCATTTGTGAGTACTTCCCTGTCTGGTACAAAACTTTTTTTTCTAATGATACTCAGGAATTGAATTTCTTTTCTGTGTTTTTTTTTTTTTTCTTCTGCCCTCAGCAAACCCTGTAGCAGCTGTACAGGAAACAAAATCACTACCAAGAAATCCCTTTGAAACATTCAGACCTACCAGCGATCTTCAGGTTGGTACCTGCATGGCATGAAGTTGGATGTGTATTTTCATGTTGCATCTACCAAATGCTTTTAAAAATACAGATCACTGATGACTGACCAGCTATAGAAGGGTTTTGGGGAGTGTGGGTGCAATGTGGTTGTCTCTAAAGAACTGCAATCTATTAAAATTATTCATGCAATGCGTTAATGTGAAATTCATTGGTTGTCTTCAGCTAAAGAATGGATCACTTCTGAACAGACCTAAAGCTGTCCTTCAGAAGCTTGCAGCCATGTCAGACCTTAATCCAAATGCTCCCCGAAACTCACGAAACTTCGTCTTCCACACACTTTCGCCAGTCAAGAGTGAAGAGGCAAAGGAGAAATCAAAACCCCAGGTAGAGATTTATGTGGGATGTGCCAATAGTGTCAACTTGCCTATGTTGCCATGTTAAAGAATGTTCAGTTAATTGGCTGCATTCTTACTGAATGTGCAGGTGCAAAACCCTGATAGGCAGATGGGGACAGCTACACTTTGTTTCAAATGTGCCCTTGTAATATATAGCACTATGCACAATGTAGTGAGAGTTGTTTGGGTGCATTGCCTGAAATAGGGGATGGAAAACCGAGTGGAATATTTGGGATTAGGATGTGCATATTTGCTCTCATTGGACGGTGGTGATGGGAAATCTTGTTGTAACTGTCCTGAATAATCACAGGTCTCATGCTTTCTTATAGGCAAAGAAAAGAGGTCCTACAGTGATGGTAACACCTTCACCCAAACGGCCCAGGACTGATGATGCTGCAACACAAGGGAACCAGAGCCGAAGCATATTCCGATACTTGGAGAGCTGAATGTTTGTTTGGGGACAGAAATTGCATCATGTCTTGTTGCCAGTCGCAGTATATGCTTTGCAAATCTCTAGCTTAAAGCACCAATGGAAAACTGTTTCTCTTTTGCCTGGATTCTTACCTGTGTCCGTGCTGCCAGATAAGTCTTTGTCTCTTCCACAAGGTCTTTCCCAGTATTCCAGGACAACCAGCAAAACCTAAAAAAGTCCATGCTTTGGATGGGCAGAGACTGAGTTAATACTTCATGCCAAAGCGTTATTGAAATTACACTACAGGATGCAGATCTTGTGGAGAACAACTCCTCAAATGTGTTAACTCCGTGCCCCTTCCTCCTGACAGTTCTGTTAGTGAAGTAGTCTGTTTTTAGTATAGCTGTACCACCTCTGTATTGTGGAGGACTGATATATGAAGGACCGAGGGCTGCATCATTGGGAGGTGTGTCCAGAACAGCAATGGTTTGCATACACTGTTTACAATTGCAGTAATAAGGTATTTCTATCTTCCTTTGAGACCTACTGCCTTCTCTAATGCTGACCATATAGACTTGATATCCCCAAAGGGTCTGGTTTACATTTTAAATACTTATTTTTTTTTTTTTTTTTAAAGTTAACCCTCCTTCATTTCTAGAACAGCAGTGTAGCTTTTCTCCCCCAACTAGTTACCTTTTACCGCCAAACTTCACATACATGTAGGCATGATGGAATGATGTGTATGTGAAGAGGTTCTTTTACACAAATGAAGACTTATTTTTTTTAAATTGCCTGTTGTTTTGGACCAAGGTGCCATCTTCCCTGAGAATTCACCCTTTGTAGTTGTCACGTAGTGCAGACAGAAATATAAAGCCACCTTTAGAATGAAGCAACAAGATTTTATACTAGCGAAGAACCACTATTCCCAACTAGCCTAAAGTCTGAGGCAGGAACAGAAACTTGGAAGATCAGTAAGTATGTAGAACGTGCACCTGGCTATATTGTGAATTTGTGAAGCTAAAACTTATTGTAATATACAGGCTAATTCTTAAAGACTCCACATGTTTCTATGGCTCGATTTGAAATGCTCAAGATGCTGACTTGATCACAGAAGAATCCTGAGTTGTACATTTTGTAATTTCATAAGCACACTTTGGTGTGTTGGTGGTGTAAAATATTTTAATGTATATTGTGTTTATAAGGAACTATGGTACTATTGGAGTGCAATTTTACAATAAACGTGTGTTTGTTTTTAATTTTCTGTGGAAGTTAAAATTAATTTATAAAATCTCATGCAGCCGTGTGCAAGTATTTCAAAGAATACATTTATCTACCAAGTTTGCTTTCTCTGTCACTGTTGCCACACTAGAGGGTCCTATTATGGGCTAGCACAAAGAGGAACTGCTTCAGTAAAAGGTGTCTTTTACTCCATGTAAGGCCTTTTTCACAGGGCTTATATTTGCATATACATTCTTGAACTTGAGAGTAAATTTCCTTAACTTCCTTTTTTAATAGTTTGGTTTTGTTAGTTTCTAAACAAAACTACTTTTATTGCTGGCTAAAAGTGTGCATTAACTGCTACACTTTGCCAGATTTGAACTGGTGACCTAGAGATGAAGCTGGCATGTCTGCGCTTGGAGCTGGGGGTGTGATTCCCAGCTCGAGTAGACCTACTCATGTTAGTTCCCCTGGAACTAGGGTGCTAAAGTAGCATTGCCACAGTAGCATGGGCTAGCTGCCTCAACATGTACCCATGGGGTCTGGGTGGGTTTGTACTCCTCGACGTAGCCAGTGTCTCTTTACCAGATGTCTGTGCTTTGCAGTCTCTTGGTGCACTTTTTCTCTCATTAAATATATTCAAATAAATATTTGCATCTCCTTACTTCGTATTACTAAGTAGGCTGAGCTGTTACTATCGGTCAAACTCCTCATCGCTAGCTCTGCACACATGGTAACTTGGCTTCCGACTTGTTGACACATCGCTCTTTGCATTTAGGCCATGTGGCTGCCATAAATTTAGACAAATCTCCAGTTATTTACGGTGTGGCAGGAGCATTGCACCAACCCACTAGGGTAGCAGAGAGCGACTGAACAGTGAATGTGCTAATAAGGTAAGTGTTGTACTCAATGACTTCAGCAATAAAATGCCTCTTCCTACTGCTCTGAGAAAAGGAAGGCACATTAAATCAAAGCTCAAGGAGTTCATAATTCCCTGAACATTAATGTAATGTAACACAGATTAGCACAAACTGTTACTCTGTGTAGAGTGGCTGTAATTGGGTTTAGTGCAGGGATTCTCAAACAGGGGGTCCTGACTCCTCAGGGGGTCACAAGGTTATTACATGGGGGGGAGGGGTCGTGAGCAGTTAGCCTCCACCCCCCAAATCCCACTTTGCCTCCAGCATTTATAAGTGTTAAATACAAAAAAGTGTTTTTAATTTAGAAGGGGGGGGGGGGTCGCACTCATAGGTTTGCTGTGCAACAGAGGTCCCCAGTACATGAGACCATGTGCCGCTGCCACCCCCCATCCCAAGGTAAGGGGTGTGTCTTGACTATTGGCAAGTTATGATGTATTAACTATTTAGATTAGGAATGTAATATAGTACATCTCTTTCTCATCTATATTGAAAACAATAGCATCTGATAGGGAATGTTTGTTTCCTATATGCTTCCATAGAACAATCCTGACCTTGTATTTTTTTTTTTTTAATTGTTTGCAGAGCTGAAACCTCCTTCCTCCCCCCAGCAAATCAAGATTGAAGCCCTGTTGTGCTAGGTGTAGTATAGACACATAGTGTGTCTGTGGTTTTTGGTTTGTTTGTTTTTATTTCCAGGCTTGACTATCCTTTGTGTGAATGCTTTTAAGATCCTTGGTTGAAAGGTGCTACAGAAGTGCAAAGTTAAGCTGAGAAAAGTAGTTTTCTTCTAAGAGAACTTTGCAATATAGTACCCATTGTATGAAACAGATCAGTCAGCAGGCACTTGTGCCCTGTGTGTAATTCTGCCGTATCCACAAAGTGTGCATTAGGTTGGACAATTCAGAGTGCTCCTAGCACGTGGTAATTCCATGATCTCTGTATCTGGATTTTTGGGATCTCCGCCCTCATGTTTGACTACTGCTTCTCTGTGGAGAGACTGCAAAAGGTGAGTTTTAATGAGGGACTTAAAAGAAAAGAGGATGGAGTCGCAACTCCCGAGGTTGTTCTCTGGTTCCTGGAATTGTTTATATTATTCTGCAAACTAAGCTAATTCAGCACAGACTTGCCTACAGGAAAACAACCAGAGGACTCAAGATAATTGATTCTTACTTTGTTTTTAAACATGTGGCTGTTTCTAACCCTAGAAAACGATTTTGAATTTTGCAGCTCATGAGAAGCTACCCTACTGTTTCCCTAAAGGCTCTGCTAACCGTTCCAGCCCCTAGAGAGCAGCGAGAGAATGATCAGGCGCGAGGAGAGAGGCTAGTTTCTTAGAATTGCACAAGCCCTTAAATAGCATCTCTGACTGGAAGGGGAATGCAAGTTAATCATGATAGTTTTCCATCATGGAATCCTAAAATATCCATCGTCACCTAATTAGACGCAGGACGACTGCGGGCGGATCTGTGGTTCCAGGGTCGGACTCCTGAGTCATCTCAGGACCCGTATGTAAATCCATGGTAGAGATCATTGAATCAAGGGATGGCCAATGATGATGAGACTCAGAATTGCCGTTGTGTTGGATGGGTTTTAAGTCAACCACCACCTCCTAGGTGAGGTCAAGTACCCAGAGAGGGCTCACCATGTCCGTCTGAAGTGGTTCTGATAGATCTGAGGAGAGGCCAATGGGATGACCTACCATAAGAGTGGTACCTAGCTCTCCTTTAAGCATAGAACTGTTACCCAGGGATGACTATTCATAGCATGCTAGGCAGATGTCTCATAAATGGGAAAAACACTATCTGGCCTGAAGAGCTTATGAAAATTTTTTTACTGCTGAAGCTTTTGGGAGTGAAAAAACACTTCGCTTCCCACAGCAAAGGTGCAGGAGTTCAGGCGATTACTGCCATTAATCTTCTCATGTTCATAACACATTTAAGTAACCACATGAGCCTGTACATTTAGTTTAAATAACAGAACTTGATGCAGTGGATGATAGAACGGTTGGCCCTGTCAACCAGCAATACGTTATTTTTAGTTTGTGTAAAATAGCCCTAGTTTTGCATGATTTAGCAGCCTGCTGTCATTCCATGATAGGAAAAACAGAGTTCTTTTGTGGGTTATTCTCTGGTCCCATGGAAATCCTTGGGACTGCTGGCAGTAAAGAGAAGTATGTCTTCACAGGATTGGGGTCTAGGTTATTATCCTGGTGGGGTTTGGTGAGGGAGGAAGAGGTAACCAGCTCTGCCTAAGATTTGTCCCATCTCTAGGATTTATTTTAGTAGGAAAGGTGTGTGGGTGGGCATGTGTGTGTGGGAGTTGTAAGGTGTGGAGAAGAATGGTCAATGTTGAAGGAAACTAATTGCATCAGGTGTATAGCTTACTTATATAGGAATGTATTATGCCCTTATTTCATGGGCAGTTAGGAGCATGATAGATTACATCTGTGATTGCTCATAGGGGTAAACAGTAATCTCTGCCTCCCTCTGTTAACCACTGTTAACCACTCATGCTCACCATAGCAGGGGAGCGATTGTGAGGTTTACACCCAATTGTGCAAATTCTTGGCCTAAAACCAGGAGCTGTTATCTTGTTCCCTGATGGCCACTAAGCAGGCCATGGTATGCTTCTATAGAGAGTAAGTGCCAGAGGTGGGAACCCTCCAATTTGCAGGCTTGCTGCCATCCTCAGGCATGTAAAACTAGGACATGTCAGTAAGAAACCCTCCGTCAGTACCCGTGGTGTGGTAGTGGACAGGGTCAGAGGCAGTCTCTGTCATAGTCAGGTGCTAAGCCACCTGGAGCTGATGCTAAAGTTAAACCATGTGGAGCTGCTGCCTTTGGACCATCTCTGGCTGCCTGCAGTATGTGCCTAAAATGTTCCAGTGCGGTTACCAACTGAGAATACACATTAGGGGCCAAATCTGGCTTTGCTCCACCAGTGTAAATCCAGCCTAAATCCATCCACTAACAACTATCCCAGGAATCAGGGCCCCATTGTGTTAGCTGCTGTACACACAAGAAAGGCAAAGAGGCAGTACCCCCAAAAGCTTCCACTATTGGTTTACAACACCACGCAGGAGGTGGATGAAACAAGCAGATGAGTGGGGGAAAGGGGGCAGGACGGGGTAACCATGAAAATTAGGAGCTGTACACGGTAAGCAGCTGTTCACAGCCAGCTCTGATCATGTGGCAGGTTTTGTAGGCATCATAGCAGAGGTACGCCTTAAGGAGGATAAAGTTGGGGGCGGGGGTGAAGGGCCTGTGTGGATGTGATGGAGCAGAAGCCTGACTGATTCCGCGGCTCAAAATCGTTTTTTTTTTTTAAACAACAATGTGCACAAAGCAGAGCTCTCCTT